AAACTACTCGCAAGGTTGTTGAAAACTCTTCGACAGTTCACGACCGGTTTTGCCATTCTTGGGGCTCAGCAGGTAGGCGTAGCCCCGATTTTTAGTCAACCTTATTGTTGTATCTCTTCACCTGCCCTGACGCTACTGGGTTATAGTCAGAAGACAAGAAGACGACCTGAAGGAACTGTGTATTAACGCAATTACAAACTTCTATATATATGATTCACTTGTCACCGTATTTGACGATCGATCCGGTGTCAACCAACCAGTGTGTCTCCCACACACCCACACCGGTCCTCGGGCGGTTGTTCCTTTAGATGGCCGTCTGTGCGCTTGTGTACAGAGTGCCTTGACCATGGAGTAGGCGTGAACTTTCTGTGTCGCTTTTCGACCGTTCTCCGGCACATGATGAAATCTGACGTGATTCCGACGTGGGGGGCATAATCGCACGGCTCTGTTCCACATGATTGTTCCGCTGCGCAGTAGGCTGATGCGCAGCCGTATTACTTATGTTCTACTTGAACAGATATTTAACTGGAATCCTCACAGACGTTTGTTCCGTGGAAAATTCTACAGCAGAAATTTTCGAGCGTACTAATTCAGTATTTCAGCGCAAAGTCAACTGATCAACGTCTATAGGGTCAAAACGCACGGATTGTCCGAAATGTGGAATTTGACCCAGAGATAGGGACAAGTACAAATGAGCAGTGAACTGATAATGTTTGGTCAGATTTTGAGTAGTTTGGCAATGAGGTGGTTTTGATCACCTGCTCCTCCTTGACGTTTGAAGAATTCACAGCTACAAAAAATCCTTTGATTGCCATTTGAAGACTAATAGAACTTCGGTTTGCACAGCAAACGCAGTTCTGGTAGCTTTCTTAGAGACCACAAAGACCACACGACATTTGCCAACGGTATACAGTTGAATTCGCATCTACTAGCAGAGAGACGACGGCTATGCAAATTGAATTAAGGTCACCCACGGTCGAAAAGTTGATCCAGTTTCTAACCGGGATTACTGTTGAGCTAAAGTGCCGAATGACAGTGAGTTGAAAATTTGTGGAGTGCACTGAAAGAAAAACTTCCCTTTTCAGCTTCACCTAGAGAACGAAATCTCCACAGAAATTTTCATACCTCTTCACGCTACCAACAACCTACGAGTAGCTAAGTAGAATCATAAACTTCACCCGATTAGTGAAACTTCCATCAGAGAAATCGTTGCTCGAGGAGCCAGTCAACACGTGTGACCGCGTGATGTGGACTTCGTGAGTGAAGGATGTGCGGCGCTATAAAAACTTCCCTGGTTAAATTCGTCATTCAAAAGTTTCCGTATATTGCGACTAGGCCTCTATTCAGCCATGCCACCGAGTACACCTAGCGCGGTGAGAAAGTTCGTCTAAAGGTTCTTTGCATCAGGATTTTGGGATCCAAAGCGCGTGCGAAGCTTAAATCTGCTTTCAGCCAGTTGCTTGCCAGTAATTTCGTTATGATGATACGGCTCAACATGCTCAGGTGCGTATTTCTGAATGAGTGAATAAAACTATATTCCCAACACACTTGTTCTTCCGATTCTTGCGGTTCACAAACTTCACTCTCTTCCAGTTCATCAGGGTGAATACGATGAACTTCCTTAGTCTCAAGTCACAGAGCACAAACACACGTACAATGGACATGAAGGCAACTGGAAGTGTTTTCTAAATACGGGATTAGTGCACTGTTGATGATGGCCTTAATACAATTCAGAAGGTATATGCATCAATAAAAGTTTTTACTATAATTGACAGTGGTGGGTTGCCACACGCAAATCAAAAGAGGAACTTATCGTCTGTGAGAGTTCCTTATTGAAAGTCTGGACGGGCCGGACGGTGAAGACGTGCCATTTCCACATGGTCGCTGCTGCGCGTGTTCCGTAACTGTCCATGTGGTTGACTTCCTGCTCCCTGCGTGCGCGCGAGTCTGTGTGTGCTGACTGTGTTCGATTTCCCTATATGTGGGTCCGTTTGCGTGTACATGGGTGTGTCAGCACATGAGCTATTGCTACGCTCACTAGACGGTACAGACAAGCAATGTCCGACGAGTCACCTTGATGTGACGTGTTTGTGAGTGTGAAAAAAGACAAGTCTCGTGATCCAGTGAGCGACTGTGAACTGAGCAGTCAAGTATGTGGGTGACTGGGCAGCTATAACGGATAGATGACTAAATAACCCGTGCTCCGCTCAAGCATTTTAACAGGTTCTTGAAACAGGTGGTCGGTCTGATTCGTTCCAGCAGGATGCCTTGTGTGTTTGACCGCTATCAAACGCGTCCACCGCTGCTCTCCGCCATTGTGTTTATAACAAGCCGAGAGCAATTCTTGAAGGTCGCGCTTACCTGAGGCTTCCGGTCACCAGCTTTAATGTCCGCAGCTGCAATGACTTTCTAGTTTGGAACTGCATAGTGCAGTGCCATGCATACCTCTTGCTTGACCCACAAATATTACTCCTTCCAGATCGCCAGACACTCTGAGAGGCCACGAAGCACATCGTTTGTCTTCGTGTGACTCCATTCATTCTGCGTATTGATGATGCACCCCTGCCGATGGAGCCACTCAACTGCAGGTTCCCTCCTTCACCCATGTATCCATCCAAGCAAAATGTCCACTAATAATCACTGAACCTCCATTGGAAAGAACTCTTTTGGTCGTCCTGGGCAATAGAATGATGTTCTTTGATCTGAGTAAGACCGTTAACGAGAAAGAGCCTCAAGGGACTCACCCGGCTAAAAACTCGAACCATCTGCCTTCCAACCCTAGTATCTTCGGCCTACGAGCATTTTCGTCGAGCTCCACTTTCCGAAACAGCCATTGCTCTAGAGAAGCAAGGCAGTTAATTTCGTTTGTTTTTTGGTAGCGTTCGGCGTGGTAAAAGATCGAGATGTTACTCGAAGACTGTTGAACTTATTCTACATTCGATTAGATTTCCAGAAGGGAAAACCCTACGCTCAGTTTTGGTGCAATTGAAAGATTCCTTGCCGGTTGAAAGGACTAGAGTCTGCGTGTATAAAACTAACTGCAATGATTGCACTTAGGTTTACATAGGACGAACTGCCACAAACTGCACACCAGCATTGGTGAGCATAAAAGAAGGATAAACAGACCACCAAGGGATGCAGAGAAATACCGAAGGCTGGTCAAAGACTTAACGAGGCGGACATGCCTTAGAGACGGGACTTAAGGATGTGGAAGTTTTAAGACGGGGACTGCGATTCACACCAAGGCGGCTGATAGCCGAGGTGGTGGAAATTACTAAGCATCATAGCGTGAATAGAATCGAGGGTGTAGAACTGGCGAGCGTATGGAAAGCGGCCTTAGATAAGCCGAGTTGACATGTGACTGTGTGGTTGTCAATCCACATAGAATCATTAGCAATAAGTGGGGGTTGGGGGTGGAAATCCCAACCCGACCTAAGTTCACAACATCCCCTTTACACAACTATCTTAGCACTGGCTCATCCACACAGACGGACAGAATGTTCAAACGACGTTCAAGAGGGACCATCAAAAGAACCGAACCAGAAGAACTAGACCCTAGGGTGGACCCAAACACATGTAGGTTTCCCCACCGAACCAACACTTGTTCAACCACTCTAACACACTAAAATCCATCGGCCGACACCCAACAGAGATTTAGCTTGACTTAGCTGATTGGTTCTCCTTCCGCCTTAAATCTCGATCAACCTCAGAACCTAGTCACTTGGCCTGACGAATCTTTTGTCTCGAAAGCGAAACGTTGCCCAGCATTAAATCTACTGACTGTCACCAGACTTTTTCGAAAACCGAAATGTTTTGTTCGTGAACATCTGTTGTTCATGTTTCCTGGGGATGTTTGCTCGGATAAATTGTGAAAGATACCCGGCTTGAGATTCACATAGTGGAAACTGCTGTGACGATATGTGTTTCACTGGTACAACTATGTCACCGGGTCACAAAAATGCCTGATTTCCAACAAAGCATATTGGTCCCTAATAAGAACTTGGACAAACTGGTGATATCTCAGGAAAACTGAAATTTTCGGATACTTTTAGTACGACTTTGTAAAACTGTCACTTAATTTAACAGGTTCGTGGACATTTTGTGAACCGTTTTCAATGAAATAACGTGGAACAAAACAAAAACTTGGGACGTGGGACATTTTTACCTTTCTCAGCTTTGTGGTTCCAGGATATCGCGCTGAAAAACACTGCGTTCTCGCCTATGAACCTTTTCTTCGACTGGAGCCTTGCACTTTTGTCGAGTATTGTAGTATATGCCGCTTATAATTCCCGATGACATCAATGACCACAAATTGTTGCACGCCACATATTTGGAACCATAAATGAGAACAATGGAAGAACGTTTGTTTTACGTGTAAGTTCTAGGCATAAACAAAATCCCAATCCTGAAAAAAATGCGAAAACGAATCCATTTCAAGGCTAACATCATTCTGCTTCGCTGAAGTCGTTATTGTCTATTTTCTTGATAAACCAGTCTGTTTGAAGGACAACTGAAAACTCTTCATCATCTCCGCCATTCTTGAGATCCATCATGTTGGTACAGCCCCAGAGTTTCTGTCTACCTCATGTTCCACTTGAACACCAGATTTTGAGCAACGGCTAAAAAGTCGCATTGAAAAATGTAGTTGGTGACAACATAGAACTTGACTGAGCCCCCCCCTTCTACGATATTCTTCAGTGAAGGGCTTGGTGGCCGACTTAGGTAGTTGGGTAAATGGCTCGAGTTTCTTACAGTTTACAGGTGCTCGCCTTCATTCCGATCTACTAAATACCAAGACTTATCTATTAGAAAGTTGTTTTCTCATCTCGTGCGTGGGTTGCCAAACCTCTTCGTGGAAGACCACGGTCTATTGCCCTTAAGCCACGTAGGAATGTGTCATTTTACCTTGATTGTATAAAAACACACCTAAATGTCATACTTCCTTTTAGAAGATTTCGAACCGGTTGATTTAAATCGTGGATGACGCTATAGCCCTCCGTATGAAGCATTTCGGCAGTTGGAACACAGAGGAACACGCTGTCAACAAAAACACTCCGGACAATATAACTTGGATCAAACTTGATGGTGGGAACAATCAGTTTTCAGCGAAGAAAACCCAAAATCTTCTGAAAAGAACCACCTTTCGCGTCCTTCTTAGTCAGCTTGTGCTTATCATCTTGATGAGTTCAGTGGCAGTGTCACTCATTTTGATGCTCGTGGGAATTTTCTCGGACCAACGCACCTGCCTCACAGTGGGTTGCATCCTGGGATTGGCAGCCTTCGGAGCCATACTTCATGGTTGCCTTAGTCACCGCTCTTTGCCCGACTCCACCACACCCATTGTCCTGAGTGCCGCCTGTATGTATCCTGTCGGTAACCTTGCCCTCACGACAGACCATAACGCAACCGCAGCCGCAATGGCTACGGCAACCTTTATTCCGAAAACATTTCAACACCCATCCTCGATGATGACCTCCAGCTTGGAAGCCAGTGTTCTCAGTCAGCTACAAAAGAAGCAGTCCTTTCCCTTCCCGCCCGGTCCGACCATTATGGCAAGGCAAAATTCGTTCCACACCCTTTCGATTCCACTCCCATACCGTCGTAATGTTTCCGACCCAGTGGCTGCCAGGAGGTCACACGTACTTGACCGTAGCTCAGAAGATCCCCCGGTAGATGCCAAAGTTGTTCAGTACACCAAACAGCACAGTTGTCCTGTTGAACAGGCTACATTGAATGAGGAGCACTTATATGCCAATGATCTTGTCTGGACGGGATGTTCAACAGCTGAACATAGTGATTTATCCTTGAACTGTGATCAAACGGTTGAAGGCATGATGATTCCTAAACGAGATGGGATAAAGAAACAGACAGAGGGTAAGTTTGGCTGTATAATAACTCTTTAATTGAATCGGCATACAAATAGGCGTAACTAGAGGGGCTTGTTCGCTGATATTTTGTCTAGGTTGATTGACAAAGCGAGCGAAAGGGTCGCGTTGTCACACCGGGGGCAATCGGTGTGTAGAACCCTCAGCACATCATCTGTATACAATTCTGAGCACAAGCAATACAACTTGTAGGCTCAACGACTGTGACCTATGCACTCAGGTCACGACAGGCAGCTCCAGTGGACGTGTCTATAGGCGTTGCCAACTGCTTCATAACGAACGAGTTCAAAAGTGTCACCAGCACGCCAAAATGCAGAATAAACTGGACAGAAAATACGAACCAAAACTTCTCGACCGCAGCTGTTGGTGGATTCAATGAACTCTACAAAACGTGATGTTAAAAACTAAAAACCACCGTCTTATTTTGTCTGAATAGGAGTGCATGAGGCCGTCAATCACACAGCAATGAGCGTTGGTGTGTACGCCTGAAAGACACTCGAATAGTGACTGTGTTGGGTGGCGTGTTAAGGCACGTGTACACAACAGACCAATGTCACCGTATCAGTGAGATGACAACATAGTCATAGTTGCATTGTTCGTTCTGTTGTCCCTTTAAAAGATGTCCGACTATTAGCGATTATACACTCATTTGCAAACTAATTTGGTTTTTCCAGAGGTTCACCTGGAACCCAGCTGAATCTCTCGTTTGTGATTTTTCCAGGAAGCCGAATGTGTTGCACCAGGCCGCCTCATGCCTTAGTCACTACGATATTTGAGATATCGCGATACATATATATTTTTGTAATGCACTTGAAACCAAATTGCACGAAATTAGCGAATATACACTCATTCAATTAGAACATAAGTTTGACAGAAACTCGGGGACTGTGACTACCTGATGAGCCCCAAGCGGAAGGGCGAAACCGGTCGTGGGCTGTCGAGTTATTTTCAGCAACCTTATGAGTAGTGCACTACAAAAATGTGTTCGAGTATTTTTTTTCGAATTTTGTGTCGCGAACGTGAGAGGAAACTTTTGGAAAAACCGCAGATTATAATCTAATACACAACAAACCAGAAGAGACGGCATGAGATACGAGAGGTATGGTTGTTTATCGGGTAAAGTCTATGATCATTGAAAATAAAACAAAGGAAGACACCTGGTACAAGAAGCGCTCACTCTCGAATGAAGGCGGTCCGTCAATTTGTGAGAATGCACTTCAGTGCATAGTCCGTTGGGCACTACTCAGAGGCCTGGAAACGTTCCCATTTTCCTTATCTTTTGCCTGCTCTTTTAAATATTTTTTGGATAACGTTTAAGAAGACTCACAAGGTTTTGTGTTGTAGATATTCGGCCTTCAGCACCACAGCTTCGAAGAGACAGTAAGCCTAGAAGTAAAAATCCGGAGCATGACTTTTCTGTCTGATTCGCACTGTTTCGGATGCGACAGTAACAAGTTCGATTGCTGTTGAGCTCACTGGTAAAGCGATGTTTATGACCACGTCCAGTCATCATCATTCCATCTCCGTCTTTCCCAGTCGACTGATGTTATGAGTGATCAGTCTATCCAGATATTTTGGCCTGATGGCACAAAACGGTTTATTCGTTCATCCATCTGCCTACCTTGATGACAGCAGACCAGTCAAATCTTAAAGTGTCTGGTAGCCTTTATGTTCACCTCCAAAAATTATCATAGTTGCAATCGCGTATCCCAAATCAAGAAGCCTCCTATCAGTGACAGTCTGAGCAGTGTTCGGATGTACTTCACCTATCCTGCCACCATCTTGTCAAGTAATCAAGAATTGTGCCGTAATCAGGCGTATATATGTCGCAGCCTAGTAGAATCGAGCCTCTGAGAAAGTTTCCAATCTTTTAGGCTGTTACACGCCTAAGATCAGCAACAAAGCACACACACACCGTTTTAGGCAACATTAAATCTCACCCATGGAACACTGGTCATGCAAATGCGGCTAAATTTCAACCTGCTGAGAGGATCCCAAACTCCAATGACGTCATCCCGTTGATGTAATTATTGGACCGCATCTGACATGTGAGACGCGCTTGGACGCGATATGCGATGCCGAATCGCGATTATCGTAGTTGTCTCTGTCTCATTTAACGTCCATCTTTGGTCAGTACTCTTAAACCCCGTCTCATCCACTCCACATTTTCTAAATCTATCCTATGCCCAGTGTCTAGAGCATGCCCTGCCATTGCCGAATCTTTGACTAACGCCTGGCGTTCATCTGCGTTTCTCGGTGGTCTGTTAATGGAACGTTTATGCTCACCGATTCTGGTGTGCAATTCCCTGGCTGTCTGACCTATATAAACCTTCGTACAGTCGTTACGTCTTATTTTGTATACACAGTTCATAGCCCTATCAACCGGAAGGCGGTCCTTCAAATGAACCAACACCGAGTTACGTCGATGTCACGTTTGTTGAGATAAAGCAGGATAAGGTCAACGAATTCTTTCAGTATCTGAACACTTTGGACCCTCACATTAAGTTTAGCATGGAGCTAGAATCCACATCGGGTATACTACCACCACAGCGACTGGTGGCCGAGGCGGTGGAAATCGCCAAGCATCCCAGCGTGAATAGAATAGAGGGAATATAACTTGCAAACGTGTGGAGAGCGGTCTTAGATCAGCCGAGGTGACACGCGGTGGTGTGCAGTTATCAGCTAAACGGTCTGGGCCTAAAAGTACAGAATCCAAGTAGAGCTAAATCCAATTAACCACCCCACCCCCATCCCCAAACCAATTGTCCCAGCACCCTTTGACGAACACAGGTGAACGAAATCTGTGACCTACCCCAACAGGTGTTCCAGACTGAAAAAGCAAGAACGAAAATTCCGGGTTCATCATGAAGACAAATCCACCCCTAACCAATTTATCGTAAATCTTAGTCATCCTCACTAACCAACAAACAGGAACATCAGACTGAACACCCAGCACTGATCAAGTCGCTAGTCATAAGGAATCTCGCGGATTGGTTCCCTGACTGCCTTAAAGTCCAAGCAACCCACTTACTTACTTGGCCTGACGAAGCTTTTGTGTCAAAAGCGAAACGTTGCTCAGCAATAAATCCACTGATTGTTTACCAAACCTGTCAGAAACGATGACTTCTCAATCGGTCCCAAACATTTTCCAATTGATCGCCCCTATCTTATTTAGCGTTCATCTTTAGTTAGCACTCTCGAACTAGACAAAATGGCTGTTCACGGTGAACCAACTGAAGGAAACCACGAAAATCTTCATTCCCTGTGGTGAACAGAGAAAAATTTTTCCAACAAAGCGCTTGAATAGGTCATATTTTAATAAAACTCCTCTCAATCACATCTTTCCTGTACAGGTTTTCGGTTAACTTCTCTTGATGGAAAACCAAGAAAACCGAGTTAACTAATTTCGTGCAATTTGGTTTCAAGTAGAACATAACGTTGGCGAAAACTCGAGGACTGTGCCCACCTGATGAGCCCCAAGCGGAAGGGCGAAACCGGTGGTGGGCTGTCGAGGGGTTTTCAGCAAACTTATGAGTAGTGCATTTCAACTGTACAAGCAAACCAAACTTTCAGCACAAACCGTGTGGTACGGTTATTCTGGAGGTGCTCAGGGTCACAAGATTTAAAGTACTTAGAACATAAAGCCTGTACTTCGGACGCTTCTGCGTGCCAAGAAGTTTGATTTGTTTGAAGCACAAACATGAGCTGTTTTTTATAAAGACCAAGGTGCAGGGGCCACAGAGAATCAGCTGAACGCCAGAACATGTTTTATGGAACCAATGTGATCAAACCGGTTAAACGAATCACGATCAATTCACATAACAAGGTCATTAAAGTATACTACTTTGGTTCCCCCGTAAAGAGCAATTATGAAGCGTCAAAATAATAGACACGAAATGTGACGGTCCAGAAACGAGTTGATTGTTGAGTTCCGTGTAGTTGATATTGAAAACCGCGCTGTACACAAAAATAGGGATCTTTCAAAAACATCTAAAGCACAACTAGAGGGGTTTGTGTGGCTTGCACAGCCTTTTCAAACCAGTAAATGGACAAAAGTTGGGAATCATTGGTTGGTGGTAAAACATTTGGCTAGTCATCAGAAGTGTGTGAGAGTACCATCTTTGAGTTGTATCCTGAAGCGGGCTGATTGCTGTGCTCTGTTTAGATTGACCTTGGCAGCGTTTCGAATTATTTCAGGAAGCAACAAGCCTAGAAGTTTGGTACGTAACACAAAACAATGGACGTGAATTCTGTGAAAAGATGCTCCGATGGATATCAAAATGACCTAAGTTGCACCTCAGCTGAGAATAACCGGAAAGGTCGCTAGTCTTGATGGCGACCACATGGAGGTCGCAGCGGTTCTCGATTCTTTTTTCCCTAAGGTCATCCCTTCTTATCATTACCAGAGGTTTCAAAACAAAACTGTCGCATGCCCAGGTCAGCTACTTGACCAGGAAGAAACGAGTAGATTTAGACAACCTTTGCATCAGTCTGCTGCAGTAACCTGTTTCGTATAAGCAGGTGAACTGATAAATGCAGAGATTTGGATTGAAGCGACAGTTAAAATGCAGGTACCTCCTCAATACAGAACGGATGGTGCTATACCCATTTATACCCATTTCTTCTTCAGTTCAACAGATCTCTCCTGAACCACCAGTCAAACATCTGCAACAGCCCAGTCAGTTTTCTGCTCATGACGATCCACCAAGTGCGGACTGTGTTGCGAGATCGTTGACTTACAGCGGAAGGATGATGGCACCAAGCGGATTAAATGAGCAGCCTAAAGTTCGTTTGATCAGCCCACCGATCTTACGTCCCCTGATTAAAACCAGTTCGTTTGCTCGTTCCCCCAATTCGCGCGACATACTGCGCATCTTGAGTCACTGTGAAACCGGTGAATATTCGTATCGCCTTGGGAGACGGTACAACCGAGAACGGGATGATATTTTCGGACCGCGGGTGTGGCGAGGATGGCGGAGTTGGATCGATCCCTAGGCGTTTTCCATGCTCACTTCATCATGTTTGTCCGTCCATTTGAACAGCATATATAGACAGCAGCATCAAACACGTGACCAAAACGAGTCTGTGATTCGCGTGAGTTGTATAGAAACGGCCCAGGTACATATCGTCCATCCATGTTACTCTGCAAATTCAGTAGTATGCTTAAAAAGTAGTAAGACTGATGTTTTCTTACTGACATGATTGAAGCAGTACTGTGAACGCCGTTTCAAATTTGGGATTGTCTACGATGAATTTACTCCGCGTTGCTGATAACGGAATAATTTGTTCAGTTTGACCAAAACCCCAGTTCAAGGAGCAATCTTTTTCGAATATTTTGATTTGTTAAAAACATCGTTGGGTAAAGAATTCTGCACTGCAAAGTTCAGAATGGCTTGATGGCGGTTTGGATTTCTTTTTTGGTGATCTTTATTAACATTAAAAAAGCAGTTTGACGAAACATTCTAACCTGATCACGATGTCCGTTGCTGAGTGTGAGTTACCTAAACGCACCAAGCACCTTACATGATCCCACTGCTATTGGTTATCGTAAAGTACTGCTTGGTCCATACATTCTTTGAACCTGTGTTTTCTAGTAAGTTAAAACTACCTGTCTTCGTTTGCATATCCAGCGCATTGGGAAAGTCCGGGAAAAACTTTGAAAACGAGCTTGTGAGCATGCACAAGTCATGTGATTACCTAGAGCGGAATGTGACAGGATAATTTTTCTAGAATAAGCAATACTCTGTCGTCTCCATCATCAAGACATGTGAGTAAGTCCGAAGGTTTTGAAATCAACCTCGTTGGTCACTCATAATAGTAAACGCAAGTTCGAGGGCCAGAATACGCGAAACATCGAT